TGCAAAGTCCATTGTCTTCTCCTCTTACTTGTAGAACAAATGTAGAATAAGTTGTGGGCTAGAGTTAGTGTATTCCAGGGTAGGGGTTTTTTGGTTGGCTTTTTTTTCCATTTCTGTACCAGGATTTCTTATTTTCTTGGTTTGGCATTAGCATATTGAATAGGCCTTTTGTTGTGATGAGGGAGTCAGTACGATGCAACTGTTTGTTACCTCTTTCTGCTTCCCCTCTGGTGCTGTGGCCATTGAGTGAGGTTTTTCATGCAAGCCGTTGAAGGTGTTTATATTGTGTTTCAACAACTAATGTGCAGCAGGGGAAAATAATTGAGTCCATGATCTTTAATTTAGGGGTTTTTTTTTATAGCTTTCTCTCACTTTGTCATCTTGAAGGTAGCCTTGCATCTGTGGTCCGTCTAAGATGTGTGTAGAGGACAGCAGAGTGCTTTGACTTGACCCTAGCTGATGTGCTGGCACAGCTTGCCACGAGCCACTGGAGTTACCCTGTGTCCGCATGGTGTTGTGCGGCCACGCTGGGAGGGTTGTGCAAGAGGGGAAGGTGACTGGTCTCTAGGTGCTGTGCCAGACAGTCAGAAGATCTGCTGTTACAGTGTGACCCATATGTAGTCACTTGTATGTTGGAACCATTGTGCCTTGTCACAACCTAAAATGTGCTGAATGAAGTGATGGAAGGAGTAGGTGCTGCTACTCTCTACAACGCACATTACAGTCGTTGTCTCACAGCATTGTGGTGCATTTCTTGCATTGCACAAACAGGCTTTCGTTCGACTGAAAAAGTAAGTAGAGCTTGTGCATCGTCTGTTGTACAGGGCCTGCATCCCGTTCCACTGTCCTGAACAACTCTTACTTCCATCTGGTACAACACTCAACGTGGTTGTACTTGCATGGTTATAAAAGTGTGTGCAGTGTTGGTTTATGTTGCCTTGGGCAGGGCTGCTGCATACCTTAATATTCCGTGTGGAGAAAACCAATGTTGTGTCTCAGGCAAGGATATTTATAAGGTTAAGAATGGTGTCCATTGTGTCTGTTTTCCATCAAACAATAATTGGCAAACTGAATGCTGTGCTAACTAACAGTAGTAATTCTGGGATGTGCTGAAATGGGTGGTGGCATGCGGGCCTGGGCAGAGAGAGCAAGATGTTTCTGGAGGCTCTCCACAGTCGATTTCCGCCTACCTGAGTAGGGAACATACAGGTCTGTGTTTAGCCTGTAACTGTGCTATACTGTGTGGTTTGAATCTTCGTTTTTTTACAACTCATACGAAGCTCTGGGATGCATATTTTATATAGTCACTCTGTTTTCTGGCATTCGTGGGAGTAACACTGAGAGTGCTTCTTACTCAAATTCAAAAAGTGTGCTCAGGGCAAGCCTTGAACAAATATTGATTTCCTTTGGCCACAACAGCCGTGCACTTGAGCAAAAGTACAAACGTGGAGCTATTACTTCCCGTGTGTCGGTGAACATGATGTGTGGCTGCACAGGAGACCTCGTGTGTCACGTTTGGTCTGTGGTACAAGTCTTGTGGACTGTTCTGGGCTCTCGTCTTTTATAAAAGGTAGGTGTTCTGTGCATAGGAATGTACTAGGAATGTTGGTATTTTCTTGCAATAACTGAACATTCAAAGCTATGGTTGAAAAAAAAGGTCAATATTTTTCTCACAGATGACTTAAAAAAAAATCCCTGCTGCTTTAAATTCAGTTTGATTCCACAGTTGGCTCATGGTGTGTATAATGTACTAAGCAGAAGACAAGCTGTTCCCCAAGGGAAGTCAAACAAACAGAGCTGATCCCTTACCCTAAGGAAACACCTCCAAAATGCTGCTCTTCTCAGGCTAGGCAGGAGAGAGGCTGAAAAGGGAACTCTGGTGAACATGTTGCAATATCCAGTGGCATCCTCATAAAAGACCCTGTTACTCTGAGGATTTGAGCAGTAGGAGACTATCCAGTGTGACTTCTTTCACATTCACTGGAATAGCTGCTGCAGCACTTCAAGCACACAAAGTTCAATGTTTTTTTGCCTCTCTGAAAGAACAGGCTTAATAAAAGAGCCCAATTTGCAAAACATAGTGCTTGGGACCTTGATCTAGCTGCTTCTGTGTTTCCACCTGCTCCATTCAAAGCTTCTTAAAACCAGGTCACTTTTATATACCTGCCAAGATGGGACTTTAGGAACTGAAGTCTGTATATCCTGTTTTGATCTCTTTTTTGTTTGATCCGTTTTCCTTTCATTGTAAATTTCCTTAGAGCTGTGATGCCGGGTTTAAACTGAGACTGCAGCTGAAGCCTGAGGGTATTTAGCACTTCTCAGAATAGGAACAGAATGTCAGTACCTGGAAATATTTGAAAAACAAGGTTAAACAAGAGCAGCGTTGGGCTGGCACAGGTCTTAATGGATTGACACATCTATTAAGTCTGTCTTGTGTTGCTTTTTGTAGTGTTTTCTATTTTGCTTGTTTATTTTGTTTTTTAAAAGTAACAATTTGGGCAGATAAATTCTCCTGAAGTTTTTCAGGTCACCAGCCAGCCCGACTGGAGAAACAAAAAAATTTAATAAATCATTGTCCTTCATTGTATTTGGATGACTTCTGATTTCCTTGTTTCTCCCTTCTCACTGAGAATTATTTTCTTTCACAGTCAGTGCCCTTTTGTGCCATATCAGGGTGGATTTTTCTGGTTCGGATTACAGGAAGGAACATAGGCCATAAATAGATGGTATACATTCTGCTAACGCCAGGAATACTGAAATAGCTCATCCTAAAAGACAGGGGAAGCCTAGCCAGTTGGCCAAGTGCCTGGAGATTGCAGGGTTGACAATTAGTGGGAAGCTTGAAAGGGAGATTAATGGTACACTGTGCTCTAAAAAGAGCGTGCTGAGCCCCAGGGGCAGGGGCAAATTCTGGAAGAGCTGTGTCCTGATGCCTGAATGCAGTTTTGCCTTTCTCTTGACACCCGTGTCCCTGCAAGGTCCTGGCATTCCCATGTGGTGTGTTTGTCTCTGTGACACTGAATGTTCACGTACACTGGGCTACCTGCCGTCATGCGTTTACCGAATGGACTCAGGAGGGGCTTGTACAGGTCTGTTGGAAGGAAATCCTTCTTATGCCGTCAGCCCTTTCTGTACAGCCACTTAACTAAGAGGGGCTTTTGACAGGGGCGTGTAGTGATAGGACAAGGGGCAATGGCTTTAAACTGAAAGAGGGCAGATTTAGATTAGATATAAGGAAGAAATTTTTCACTCAGAGGGTGGTGAGGCACTGGAACAGGTTGCCCAGAGAAGTTGTGGATGCCCCATCCCTGGAAGTGTTCAAGGCCAGGCCGGATGAGGCTTTGAGCAACCTGGTGTAGTGGACAGTTTCTCTGCCTATGGCAGGGGGGTTGGAATCAGATGATCTTTAAAGTCCCTTCCAACCCTAACCTTTTTATGATTCTAAGATGTTCTTTAGCTGGGTGACTTCTAATGCTGAATAGGCTGACATTCATAAGACTCAGCTATCTGGAGCATCCTGGTTTGGGGTTTTTTCCCCTCCTCTGCCATTAGTAGTAGTTTTGTGTTTCTCTTTCTGCAACAGCAGAATTGTCCATACCTGCCACTTTGGAGTACTCAGGCTATATCCATAAGTTACAGCTATTCTTTGGTAAGGTGACAATGATGTCACTGCCCATCCAAAGATACTTAATTAAATAATAATTTGAGGCTTGTACATGGCACCCCTGACATTGCTCACAGAGTTTTCCAGACCTTTTGTATGGACAACCTGAGCTGCTGTGGTTTTCCTTGAGATCAAACAGCAGAATGGGAACAGAGTTCAGCCTCTCTAATATCTGAATCACTCTGGCAGTGCACAGCAGACACGTGGCTTCCAAAAGCCCTGCTCCACCAGAGTGCTGTCCACCATTAAAACTGTGAAATACAGTTGAGTGTCATATAACAAGTTTTTCGTTACCTAAAATTCTCTTAAAATTGTAACGTGAAACAGGTTAAAACAGAAAACTATGAGCCAGAATCCAGGCAATCCTGCAACAAATTTTCCCTTCCACAAATGGGGGAGAACAAATAGAGAATGTAAGGGTCGGGTTTAGGTGGGGTTTTGGTTTGCTTGGGGAGAGGGTGTCTTTCCACATAGATTTTTCTTCCTTGATATCAGATAGTAAATTAGAGGAAACACTTGTTGCTAAGTGAGGCTGGTTCGATGGGAGAATACCGAAGACTTTGTTCGGTTGCCACTCGGTGTCTCCTATACTAACAGTTTCAAGATTTGGCCAATAGTTTGTGCTTATGCAGTATTTGTCAGGGGTTTGACTCCATTTAGATCCAGAGAATAACATGATTATTTATTATTATTTTATACTTTTTCTGTCAACCATGAAAACGGCCCTTTTCTTTGAACAGGAGAAAAACAAAAAGAGTATCAAGTGTTCCAAGGTGTCATGCAAGAAGTACATTCTCCCTCCATTCCAGTTTTGAACCGTGTCAGCTGTAAGTTTGCGGCACACACAGTAAGAAGCGTCCCTGGCTTGGAGTAGTGACAGGGAGAAGTGTAGGACCCTCCTGTACCCTGAGGGTGAGGAGCAGCCAGGCTCTCTGCCTCTCTCTGGGCAGAGCTGTCAGCGACGTGGCCGCAGCACGGAGAGGTGAAGCGACTTGCAAAATCACTCACACGCGTCTTGGGGCAAGGAGCAGCTTCCCAGGGGCTGGGTCTGTCCCCTCAGTCTCTCTGTGGAAGCAGCGAAGTGCTTCTGTGCCACTCCAGTTCCCATTTAATGAAGTGCTCACCAGCTGCCTTTTCCTTGCCTTTCTGCGGTGCCTTTGGCCTCTCCTCCTCTTGCTCACTCATGAGATTGGGGTTTAGAGGGCAGCTCCACCTGGCAGTGTCACATGCCCTCTTCCAGTGTGGCACCTTGGGTGACTGTCTACCTTCCCTAAGCTCTGCGCACTGAGTTACTGGTCCAGTTCTCTGCCCCTCAGCCTGGTGAATCCATATACACCGGCGGTGCAGTGTCTCCCGCGTTCGCCAGTCGGGCGATGCCAAGAGCAGGGGAGGTGGGCATCGGCACCACCTGCGCCATCGCCGAGATTCCGTGCCCAGCTCACCCCTCCTCAGGCACGCGGCCGCATGACCAGCAGTTGCTGATCAGCTCCTGTTTTTCAAGGTTAAAGAAGAAAGGTAAAGAAGAGAAAATGCTTTAAAGGTAAGCGATTGCTCGTGTGTTTAGAAAAAGGACTTCTCCATCTGTGCTGCCAAGCAAACAGAGTTAAGTTGGTGAAACGGTGTGTGCTGTGCTGTCATTTAGTGAAGCGTGTGGCTGTTATGTAAGGGTTTTAATGACTTTCTTCATCTGTCTGCTTAGGAACACCATGTGTCTGGCAAAATTTTGAGAAGGCTCAAGGCGTTAAAGAAAGCTCATCTAAATAAAGGAGGGTTAACGTGACATTGCAGTTACTTAATCCTGCATTGTCCTGCCATGTGACTGCAGGGATACTGAGGCGCAGCGTTTCTCCTGCCTAGGGTGCAGATTATGCTTTTCCTGTCATCTTCCAGGACCAGCCGCTTTGTTAAACCTGCTATGAGGAGGAAACAGGGGAGCAACAAACTTTTTACAGCAAGGCTTCAAGACATAGTGACATTTCCAAGGCACAGTGACAAGCTCACAGGCTGAAGAATGAATCAAAGGCAAACCCTACTTTCAGCTCTTGGACTGGTACCAGAATCAAGGAGAGCTACGCTCCTAAGGTCAGCTATTCAAAATGAACTGGAAGTGTCTGGATTTATTCAGCGTGATTAATCAGCTATTTGTTTGACCTTTATCTATTAAGTTAGTTTTCAAAGCAGCAAGCTGAAGCCTGAAAACTCGTGTCAAATGTTTTGCATGTGTCAAATGTACTGCATAGACGGTGAGCAACTCGCCGCTTTCTTGTGCAAAGTTTACAGTTTTAATTGGAAAGCCTCTTCTACCTTGTAGATGAAGATCCTGACACACTGTATCTGTTATTGAGAGATGGATGCAAACAGCTTCCAGTTTTATCTCTGATTTTGAACAGACCTGCAATATGTAGATATGCCAGATTTGTTTTTGAAGTAATTTCCAAGCTAATCCTTGGACTTCCAGTAAGCTGCTTGTTTTTTTGCTAAGTTTGTCACAATGTCCATGATGTGCAGGATTGCATATTCATTCAGAATTATTTCATGTAAACTCCTTATCGGGCCATCTTGTTAAATGGGGAAGTGATTACCCTATAGACTATGACAACAGGATATGTGAATGGAGGAAGTCTTGGAAAACACCGCTATTCCAGGTGGCATCGTGAGGACAGCGGAGAAGACAATGGGCATCCGGAATGCTACGGAGGAGATGAAGAGGGCAGGCAGCACGGGCTGACCCCATTTGAGAAACTAATGCAGGATATGTCCCAGAATGAAAAAGTGGTGAAAGAATTAACCCTGGGAAAAAGAATTGGCTTCTATAGAGTCAGAGGAGAACTAGGAAGTGGGAATTTCTCACAAGTGAAGCTTGGAATCCATTCTCTAACCAAAGGTAGGCATCGCTGTGTGGATCATCTGCCTGCTGAGTGTCCTGGTTCTGTACCTCTTTGGGAAGAAAGATGCCGTCTGAACCTTAAATGTACATATAGTTTGCTGGTGTCTTTTTTTGTTTTTTTGTTGTTGTTGTTGAGTGAATTCATAGATGCAGGGTCACTGATAAATGCTTAGGGTTGGATTAGACTTTAAAGAAATCAGAAACACTTTATCTAGATGGCAGCTATTACAAGAAAAGTTCATCTCTGCACTTCATGGAGCTACTGCATCCTGTGGCTCAAACGCACCACACTTGGCAGAATGCTGTTGTGCCTCTCCTCCTACCCCTTGTCCTCTCCATCTGCCCTCTTCCCTGCCCCAGCTCATGGAGGGGCGGTGAACCCCTCGGGCAGCCTGGCTAGGCACGCTCCTGCCTGCAGACTTCGTTTCATTGCAGATTTTACTAGTACTAGTATGGATAAAGCTTTTATTTGATCACAGTAATTTTGGTGAGGAATTTTACGCCTGCTTTACTGGCTCATTTGCAGGTGGTTTGTGACTGTAAAAAGCTGGGACAGGGCTACAGGTGTGTGCTGAGCAGGTGCAGGGAAATGAGCTCTGGTACAGCCAGCCCAGGGTTTGTGCTGTCAGTTACTTTTCAGGCACTGAAAAGCACCCTGTGTGGTGTTCTAGGAAGAGCTAGAAAGGCGAGGTAAAACTAACTGCAGCCAACACTTCAGTTACAGGTGCAACTAAGAACTTGTCTTCATCTGTCCTGCTTCTTCTTCTGCTTTTGACTGTCTGCCAACAATAGAAACTGTTGCTGTTTTCTCTCAGGGATGACTAGTTTTCCCACATTTTGTACATTACTATCTTGTTGTTTTTGTTGGGTTTTTTTGTCGTAGTCTTTCCTTTCGTATTTGATTGACCCTCCTTTCCTCCATGATCTTAAGAGTGAGAGAACACAATACAGCCTGAAGCCTTCACGCCATGTTATCTGTTGTCACTTTCTCTAACCACCTCTTTCAGCCCAGACCGCAGAGGCGTGAAAGCTCACATTTATCCCTCCTGTGCAGCAGTGTTGCACTGGGCATCAGAGTGGGGAACTGATAGTATTTATGTTTTCCAAACTTAACCCTGCCTATGCCTAAGGGTTGCTTTAACTGGATGTGGATTTTTTTGGTTGAGCTTGCTTCAGAAAAGAAATCTCTGTTCTACTTGGCCCACAGTAGGTTATTTGCTCTTCTGTTCTGTGATTTTTCTTTTCTTCCAGAGAAAACTGTCTTGTGCTTAGTGTTGGAGGAAGTGCTGCTCCTGTACTGGGAACAGGAGAAATGCTAATGAAAGGAAGTTGTAATTTTGATCTGGATGACCATTTTACCTGTTGAACTTTCTTAGGAGACAGGTTGCTTTAGCATTTGAATAGAGCTGATCGAAAAATGTTCAACTTCAGTGAATACAGTAAGCTCAATCTAAATAGCAAAACCAAAACCATGGGTTTTTTCTTGAAAAGTTTCTTTCACCAGAAATCTCTCAAATTATTTTTGTTTTATTTGTTAATAGCTATTTAGGTTAAAATATTCACTGGGCAAGGAGTTCATTTTGCTATACTAAGTTTGCAACTGACATGAAGGGGGAAGGATGAAGGATAAACATCTTCTGACTTATCTCTGCCTGTGAGCTTATCTGTCCTTGTAAGACACAGTATGTGGACAGGGGAAGAGGAATGTGTATGTGTGTGCACACATGTGCACGCGTGCATGCATACACACACACTCTCCATCACCATCCACAAAGAGGACTTTTTTTTCCAGTAGAAGCACATCATTGTATTAGTAATGAAACGATGCTCCTCCGCAGTGCTAATGAGTACAAGTCTTTTCTTTGCTGATCATATAAATCCAAGGGCTTCATTAATTATTAATGCTTTTTGGGGCCCTGCGGTAGGGGAGGTGTATGTGTTGGGGGGCTGTTCGACTCCTCAGTTATTGTCATAGTGTTAAGGTCTCACTATGGTCTCTCTCCTTACATGTCATCATATACTAAAAAAGGAAACAGTTTTTTTTTTTACTAACATGAGCTTCTGTAACGGTTACATGCATGTGCTGTTCCACAACCCTTGTGATCTGTTGCAGCAGGACACACAAAATAAATTTGCTAGACGGAGAGAGGGAAAAAACTGCTGGATCATACCGAATTAAGAACCTCCTTTGTCTCACAAGGGTTGTCTGGGTTGCTCAGAGGATGCAGGAAAATCTTTGATTCTATGATGTGTGTTGGGTTATTGGGAAGCATTGTCCCCTTTATTAACCTGAATTTTGGCAGAGATTTTCTCCAGAGGCCTGCGGAGTTGCTTGCTAGAGACTGTTAGGTTCCTAAGCCTGTGTAACCTTTATTTTATGTACCTTCCAGTTGGCAAATGTGGTGTGAGAGCACAGCTGAACAGATGCAACGAAGGGCATCCAAAACTTACAGCTAGAAAAAGCCAGTCTAATGTGAAACCTCAATTGCAGAGGCAGGAATGTCCAGGCACCTAGTTTGCTTTTTTTTTTTTCTTTAAGCAATTTTAACTTGATTCTGTTTGTGTTTTGTTTCCTTTTGCCGTTATAGCATACACCACTTCTTCCTGAAGTTATTTCTCAACCTTTTCCCAGCTTCTCTTACAAAGATTTCAGCTAGCTCTTCTCAAACTTAAGCATACATTGCATACAGTCAATCCAGCTCTCTTGCTACTCCGCTTTAGTAGTTCGGTGAACAAGCTGACTGCTAAAAATGCCCTTCTGTTCAGCACTGCTGCCATGCAAGAGTAATGGAGGATTTGTAAACACAGCATTTTTTGGAAGCAGAGGGAATGAGTTTTAAAATGGAGCATGTCAGGTTTTTCACACTGTAGGTGGGCTGGCGGTCTTTGCATGTCATGCATATGCAACTGCAGTGATGTAGATTTAAAGGAACTTGGTCATGATTTATGGTGGCACGTGAACAGCACCAGGCTCTTCCGTTCTAAACCTCCCTCCCCTTCCCCCCCGCTTTTCCTTTTAAAACTGACCAGGAGGAATAGTAAATTCCAGCAAAAGGAAAGGGAAGAAATTTAACCTAGAATATTTTTTTTTTCCAAAACACAAATGCCCCAACTTTTATAAATCAAGACGTAACAATGTGATTACACAGTTCAGATTCTAAGAATTGTTATCCCTGTAGTACCTAAGCATTTAGTTACGCAAACGTCACCTACTGCGAACTGATGCTCTTTCCTCTCGGTTCAGGTGATCCATACGCTACCAACATGCCAATGGTTTTAGTCTTTCGCCCCTAGGTCAGCAGTCAGAGCTCTGCCAGGATCAGTGTCGCGTGCTGTTGCCGTTCAATAGCTGCATTTCCTCCCGCTTCACCACGCCCCATCAGCACCACCAGAGCAGGTACCCACTTTGCTAAGGGGCTCACCGGAAAGCATGGAACAGGCCACAGAGAAGCAGCGTGGGGAAGACTGCCCTGTACCCAGCACGGGCTCCTTCTGAAAATAGGCACATCGAGGGATATTTCAGCACGTTG